GGTGCTGATAACACCAAGGCCCCGGGTTCGGATCCCATATAGGGATGGCCGGTTTGCTCACTGGCTGAGCGTGGTGCTGACAACACCAAGCCAAGGGTTGAGATCCCCTTACCGGTCATCTTTAAAAAAAAAATAAAATAAAAATAAATAAATAAATAAATAAAAATAAAGCTGAAATTTTGGCCTCGTTAATATCTAGGTAGCCAAATATAAATATGAATATTCTCTGTAGGACATTACCTTGTCCAGTTTCAGCTGTTGCCAAAGTGATGGTGATAACAGCAGCAAGAATAATGACAAGGGCTAGCTAGTTAGCTCAGCCGATTAGAGCACAGTGTTGCAACACCAAGGTCAAGGGTTTGCATCCCCGTACCAGCCAGCCACCAAAAAAAGTATGACAAGAGCCAGCATTTCTTAGGTGTTCATTGTGTGCCAGGGCTGTCTTGAGCATGTTACAAACACTTTGATTAATCCTCACAACCATACTCCATCCTCGTTTTATAGATAAAAAACTGAAGTACAGAGAGGTTAAGGACCTTGCCCAAGTTCACACAGCTAGTAAGTAATACAGTCTCCTGCAAAACACTTAATGGTATAGGACATTTACTGCCCTGGGTCAACAACTTGTCGACTATAACATAAATGCTCTTAGCACCCAGCGCCCCCTTTCTCTACACTAGTCAGATTTTGTTCCATATTATCAATACTTAAATCAAAAACAAAAACATGTTATCTATACTTAAACCAGCAATCTTGGTTTGAGTAATTCCAGACAGTATATATAAGCACTTGTTCTATCATCCAGAGATTTCCATCTTGACAGTAGATTATAGTACTTGACTGATAAAGCCTGTATCATTATAATGAGTCAACACTAAGATTCATTTGAAGAGTTGTGGTCATCTGTCTAAACTCCTGTAAAAACAAACTTGTATCCCAGCAGTAAATGATTTTGTTAGGTTTTTTTTTTTGGTGGCTGCCCAGCCCTGAGATCTTAACCCTTGATGTTACAAGGCAGTTAGAAGGCAGTGCTCTAACCAAATGAGCTAGCCAGCCAGCCCCAAATAAACGACTTAGTAGAGTATTTGTTGGTTTTTTTGGCAGTAAGGGGATCTGAGCCCGTGACCTTGGTATTGTAAGGCTGCACTCTAACTTAGCTAACCAGCCAGCCTTGTAGTGTATTTGGATTATAGGACCCACACTCTTGGATGTAAATGCCAATTTATCTTAGAAATCGGAGTCAGAGAGGCTGGCCTGTGGCTCACTAGGGAGAGTGTGGTGCTGATAACACCAAGGCCACGGGTTCGGATCCTATATAGAGATGGCTGGTTAGCTCGCTTGGGAGAGCGTGGTGCTGACAACACCAAGTCAAGGGTTAAGATCCCCTTACTGGTCATCTTTAAAAAAAAAAAAAAAAGAAAGAAATCGGAGTCAGAAATTAATATAAGCCCACTTTTCTGAAAAAATAATTGGGGGGGGCAGGTAGTCAGTATCCAAGTCAAGGGTTAAGATCCCCTTACTGGTCATCTTTAAAAAAAAAAAAGAAAGAAAGAAATCGGAGTCAGAAATTAATATAAGCCCACTTTTCTGAAAAAATAATTGGGGGGGCAGGTAGTCAGTACAGGGGTCAAACCCTGGACCTTGGTGTTATTTGCACCACGCTCTAACCAACTGAGCTAACTGGCCAGCCCCTCTGAATCCCCCATTACTTTCTTTAGCCAAAAGACAGGAGGCCTGGTACATGCATAGGAAGAAGACAATGATGTTGAACTGCAAGGGTCCAACCAGGAGAAACTGATATGTAGGGATGGGGATGTGAAGTGGCCCTGGTGGGTCAGGAGCAGAACCAAGTCACACAACCCTGACCTCTATTGGAGCCCCATAAACTCACTTTGGGGGTCAGGCACGTGTATCTTCTTTGGAAATTTACTAACTTGGAAGTTAAAAGCAGTCTTCCTGGTTTTCATGTTAGCAGTCTTTTTTTTTGTCATTGGGGTGAGGGGGATAGCTGGTTGGTACAGGGATCAAACCCCAGACCTTGGTGTAATCAGTACCACGCTCTAACCAGCTGAGCTAACTGGTCAACCCTCATGCTGGCAGCCTTTATATAGGCAGCAGGTCTTTTCTAGCCTTCCTGGTGTACTTGTCTTTGGAACCACCCACCAAGCTCTGGAGGAGTGAGGGTCTAAGCTAATGGCAGGGCCAGGAAAGACATGTGGAAGGAACAGAGAAATACTCAAGCTGACCCCACAGAGACTGATCTGTCCTGATTCATTATCTTCCATGAGGATAGACAAAGAATTTTTGCCCCAAGATAATTTATACTTCTCTTTTCCCCTGACTCCCACCTCGCCTCCACTTCCTGCAATAATCCTCCATGCCATTTAATCCCTACTCTCAGTGAGTATCTTACTGTCTAACTATTCTTTGCCACCCCCCTGCCTTCCCATCCCCACCAAATCTGTTTCTTCCTCTACCAGGAAACGAAACCCAATTACGGAATCCTGATGCGCATCCTTATCTCTCGAAGTGAAACTGATCTTCTAAGCATCAGAGCTGAGTTCAAGAAGAAATTTGGGAAGTCCCTCTACTCTTCTCTCCAGGTGAAACTTGACTAGTTCTTAACTTGGAGCTGCACAGCTTCACTTCTCACCTCCACCCACAGTCCTTGCACACAGCTGAGCATATTCTTGCCCTGTAGAACTCATGAGTCTTAACTCATGAGTTAATTCAGTGCAGGACTCCAAGCAGCAAGAGGAAACTTCTGCCCCAGATGAGAGTTATGGACCAGCACAAGGGAGGGGACAGAGTGCTTGGGCCATGGTGGCGGTGGGTCTTTCTAACACCTGACTCCCTTGTCTGCAGGATGCAGTGAAAGGGGATTGCCGATCAGCCCTACTGGCCCTGTGCAGGGCTGAAGACATTTGAGACATCCCTGCTCCCCACCCCCACATGACATTCAAGGATCTGAGAGTCCCATGTTTCGCCAAGCCTGCAAGAGACCAACTGGGCCTCCAAATAGGACAACCCCTCACTGAGCACCACATGCTCCAGCTTCTTGTTGAGGCTGGAACTCTAAGTTTCTTTTAAATCCCTTAATTTCCCTCATCTCAGAATGATGCCTGTGCCTGGGTCCTGTAGTTCCGTCTTGGGTGTGGAGTAATGAGATCTCTAATAGTTTCTGCCCCACTCATCCTTCCCATACCCTGGCCAGAATATCTCACTAATACTTGAATTCTTTTGGCAAACTTCACTGTCATTTGTGTTCCTGATTGAAATTTGGGTGGAGCATGACAGGACCTGGCTGGAGGCCTTGGAGTTGGAGGTGACTTTGATGTGTACTTGGCTATTTAACAGGAATCCTGTTTTTGCTCTGGTGCTGCCATTATCAACAACCCCCCCCCACCACCACCACCCCGTGTCTTCCCTCACCCTCATTATTCTCTCTTGCCCAGAAAATTTCAGGCAAAATAATTGAAAAACAGGCACCAGAACAAGGTAAAAAATGGTCAGAGGTTGCAAAAGACCATCTGTATGAACGGAGAAGCAAGCAAAGAGTCAAGCTGCCCTGCCCAGCCTGGGAAATCTCGGGCTAGCAGGGAACACAACCCCAGACTCATCTATCCAAACGGATTTGGAAACCCACCTCTCATTAGAGTACTATTTCCCATGAAAGACCTATCAAATACAGAAACAAAGAAAAAAGGCAGGCTTTGGTTCCCCCTGCTGTCTCTATTAGAAATGACAAACAACCTCCTTAAGTCTCTTTACCCCGCTCCCCCTTTTTGCATTCCTCAATTGGGTCAAATACTTAACCCCACTGCTGCAGGGTAAGGCAAACAACAGATCTCAGGAAAGAAGTTTTATTTCCAAACCTCTAGGCAGGCATTACAAATAATGGAGATAGAAACCCAAATAAAACCCTGAAACAAAGGGAGTAGGCCTGCTGGGTAGCCAGGAGCACCCAGGAAGTCAGGGGTGGGAAGTAGGAGAGATACATTCCAGATTGGGATCTCACCCTGGAGCCTGAGTCTGTATATTCATGTGACTATTCTGGGAAAGGAAGTTGGGAACCACATTTCTTCACCCCATCTATCCCAATGTTGCCCTGGATGGGAGGAAGAGAAGGCAGCAGCACGTGAGGGCAAGGGAGTTACCGAGTCTGACCCTGGCGTTTCCTGCCTGCCTCAATCCCCAACAGTCCATAAATAAGTTATCCTGCATATCTCAGGTGTTGAGGTGGGAGAGCAAGCAAATTAGCCGTAGCCTCTGAAAGAAGGAGTAGGTCAGCCCGGCACTGGGGCAGAGCTATAGCAGAACACAGTCAGACTCATGCTTCGGCCTCTGCCGGCGCTCCCCGGCTGCGCGTCCGGATGCGGCTCCTCTGCCCTGTATTGAATTTAACGATTGGTCATCCAACAACGTTGGAAAAGCAACAAGGACAGAGATTCTAGAAGGAAGTGGGGGGGTCATGATCAGGAGGGGCACTGGGGAGAGAAAGATAGAGAGGGACTCTAGGGAAGAGGAACAGGCAGGAGAACGGCCCCAAGAGAAGTTTTGGGACAAGTGCAGGTTCCAGACCAGGCAAAGCATGGGCTGGCACAATGGGAATGTGGCAACAGGCCAGAGGAGCACAGCAAGCTCACCTGTGGTGATGGGGCCCATGTTTGCACAGGCTGGACTGCTTGATGCTGTTGATACTCCTCTTGCTGAAGTTGCTGGGCCAGCTCCAAGTCGCTAAGACCCAATGTGCCTTGTGGCTGCTGTTGCTGCTGCAGAGACAGGGCAATCAGGTAGTCCTGGAGAGAACAAGAACTGTGAGGGAGGCTAAGGCTGGGGGCATGGATACTCAGGCTAGGTTTCCAAATCAGTTTTTCTTCATCCTTCACATTCTCCAGCTCCTTCTCTCTCCAGAACAAAACACACAGCCTGGTATATTATCTGATGCCAGAGAATATACACCAAGTGAGGAGATGGTCCAAAGGTAACAGAGAATAAAGGGGCATGGATGTCACACGTCATGGCCTCTAGATGATAAAATGCATGCAGTTCACTTATGGCTCTCTCTCTGCATCTTTCCCAGAGGCCCCACATACCTGGTCTACCTGTAGTTGCTTTTCTGGGGAACCGCTCCCACTTTCTGCTCCAGGACCCTTGCCCAGGGAATGACTTAGGTGAAAGTCAGAGTCACAGAAGCAGCTGTCTCCATCCACATTGTGCAAGCTCTCCCAAACCACTTGCTCCTCCTGTAGAAAGCCCTGGTCAGTGACCAGTAGGTACAAGTGATTCTGAAAAGAAAAAGACAGAGCTAATTGGTAGGATAAGTGATACGGAAGCAGTTTACCACCAGAAATCATCTCAGAGGCACAGGTGGAGAAGATTTGGATTAACTGGTGTGCTAGCTGGAACGTGTCAGTGTAAGCATACAGGGCATTTATAAATATGCGTGACTGTGGGGAGAGGGAAGGAATGTCTGAGTGTGTGTCCAGCTGCGTGTGAGTATGGCAGTCATTTTGGTCAAGCATGGAGTCCTCAGGGCTGGGGTGCCACACAAGATCCTGCTTTCTCCCCCCCTTTCCCATGGTTCTTTGGGCTTGCCTAATGGCTATGAGGATAAATTGTTTGAGAACCAGAGACCTCTCCCTCTTCCACTCAATTCCTGAACTCCAGCAATTTCTGACTTTGGAAGACTGGAAAGTTGTTCAAAGATTCCACTGCCACCTATGGCCATGCCGCTGATCTCGGAAGCTAAGCAGGGTCAGGCCTGGTTTGTACTTGGGGGGGAGACCCCCTGGGAATGCTGGGTGCTATAGGCTTAATTAAAAAAAAAAAAAAAAAACAATCCCACTGCCCCTTCCTGGGAGAGGAGTATACTTTCCTGTCCCACTGATGGTAGGCTTATCCCCTATGGCTTGCTCTGACCAGTGAGATGAGAGCAGAAATGAGTCATTCCAGGCAGAAGCACTCAGAGTGAGTGCATAGTTGTCCCTCTCTCTCTTTTCCTTCATAGATTTCAGATGAAGGCTCTTTTGTCAGCCTAAGTCCCAGAGTGTAGATTGTGTGGGACAGAACTGTAGCCAATCCACTGTGGCCATGCAGCATGAGCGAGAAATAAACCTTTGTTGTGGTAAACCACAGGGATTTTAGGAGTCATTCATTACCACGACTTAATCTACCTTATCCTGCCTGAAACACTGACCCAGAAGAAAAAGGCACGAGGAAATGACAGCATTCCAACCCACCACCTCTGAACCCTCCTCACCTTGTGCTTAGTCATGGTGCTGAAGTGGTTGTTTCGGAAAAAGACACTAAGTTCACCCGCCTTGGCAGTTGCTGTTAACTCACACAGTCCATGGTAGGTCAGCTGTGCTGCAGTGGCCTCCAGGAACTGCTCTGCAATCAGGCCTGCCAGAAAGGCACAAGATGGGGGGAATTTGGCTTAAATCTGAAGTCCACAATAAGAAGGATCATCCATAGAGCCCCTGTCAAAAGCCCCAGGGATAAGTCCCACCTTCTGAAATCCCTTCCTTGAGGCCTGACTGTATTCATTCACTCAACAAGTACAGAGGAGCTGACCTTGTGCCAGGCACTGCACTAGGCACAGGGGATACTCATGAACTTAACAAATTCCCCAAACTCCCTATTGTGGAGCTTATATTCTAGTGGGACGTGGCAGGAGACAACAGACAATAAATAATAAACCTAAGTAGCCATCATTCCCTCTACATAAGATCCATGAGAAGGGAAGAATATCACCTTCTGTCACGAGGTTGGTGTCACTGGAGTGTTTGCAGGTGATGATCTTCTCTACCAACTGGTTGTAGCTCAGTTTCCCAACTGCACTCACAGCCTCAGGACTCTGCATGGGTAGCAGGGTGGGGTGTCACAAACAGAAAAAATTGAGCTTTTTTTTTTTTTTTTTTTTTTTTTGTCTTTTGTCTTTTTCCATGTCCGGCAACGGATCGCAACCCTCAGTGTTGCCCCCGTACCGGACCGGGGACCGGCAATGGGATTGCAACCCTCAGTGTTGCTCCCACGCCTCGCTCAGCCAGTGAGCGGGAGATCACTGTGGGAGATGTATGTGGGATCCGAACCCTCGGGCGGGAGCGCCGCCGCGCTTCCCAAGCGGCGCACTATCCAGTGCGCCACCAGGCCGGCCCCCCCAAAAATTGAGCGTTTTTTAAGAAAGGAAATTAACCAAGCCTACAAGGACTGCAACCCTATGACAAAAGTTTCCTAAATTTTTGATGTCTAAAGAACTGATCCTATTTGCATATGGTTTGCTTGTATTAGAATGTTACCCCCCCTGGGCCGGCCCGTGGCTCACTCGGGAGAGTGCGGTGCTGATAACACCAAGGCCCCGGGTTCGGATCCCATATAGGGATGGCCGGTTTGCTCACTGGCTGAGCGTGGTGCTGACAACACCAAGTCAAGGGTTAAGATCCCCTTACCGGTCATCTTTAAAAAAAAAAAAAAAAAAGAATGTTACCCCCCCCAAAAAGATTAAAATTCAAGGAAGTCTTCACTGGGTCCAGTCTCTAAACCTATTCCCCTCCCAAACCAATCTAACCCCCATCTCCCTAACATAAAAAAAAAAAAAAAAAAGAATGTTACCCCCCCAAAAAAGATTAAAATTCAAGGAAGTCTTCACTGGGTCCAGTCTCTAAACCTATTCCCCTCCCAAACCAATCTAACCCCCATCTCCCTAATCCCCACCCCACAAAATTTTGCCTCTCTCATCGAATCAGCTTAAACTGAATATGAGTCTCATTGGGGCCTTCCCACCCTCACCTGTGGATCAACAAGCCAGCCATGGTACAGAGGTATGCCTAGTAAGTCAAAGACACTGCACTCAGGTGTATACTCAAAATCAGAGACGCCTGTGAATCGCACATTGACATCCAGACCTGTGGCCAGTTTAGGCAGCACTGTCATTGCATCATCCACATTCTGGGGTAGAAAATAAAATGATGGGGGAAAAAAAAAAAAAGAAAATGATGGATATTCTAGCCTCCTCTCCCACCACTCCTCTCCCACCTCCAGAAATAAAAAATTAATCTTGTTGCTTTTCTTCCTTGATTCTCTTATGAGCCATTTCATTCCTCCCTTGACTCAACCCTTCTTTATCTTATACAAATGAACATATTTTCTCAGACAAAAATATACTCTTCTCCTCCTCCTGTAGAGAGAAATCATG